ATATATATATATATATATATATATATATATATATATATATATATATATATATATATATATATGAGTTGGATGATAAAGGCTGTGCATAAATGGGTAACGTACGGAAGGATCGAGTGTGTAACTCATCATGATGAATGAAGAACAAATTTTGAACTCCTAATTATAGTTGATCTAAGAAAGATTAATATCTTAAAGCAGAGTTGCGTACAAGATCATGAATAAAACAAGGAATAGCCACCAGTTGATTGCACGTAACGTGTAGAAACCTAAAATTTAGGGGATGACAACGCCACCGGATAAATTATGAAATTGATTTGTTCCATTAAAATTTTATTATGATGACATTTTGTAATTAATTAGTCAAAACCATGCCACAGGAGTAGCATGAGGCATCATTATCTTTAATTTATAGGTAATGCAAACGATTTAAATCTTGATGTGTTGTCGATTTTGGTTACGTATAATGGTATACATACCTATATTTTCTTAAAAAAATAATTTAAAAAATATTGAATGGTACAAAGACCAGACACACAACTTGGACTACGCAACCTTATGCCACATAATTGTTCATTTTTCTAGTTTAAATTATCATCATCTTTATGCATATTTGAATTTGATTCCCTCGATGAACAGAAATCATACTAACAAAAGATTATTTTAATGAATAAAATTATTCATGATATATATATATATAAAAGCTTCCAACGTCACCGGCAATATAATAATATATTGTACTTCAAATCTGTCCCAAATTGGATGATTCTTAAGAATCTTATCTTTGCATTGGATGTGGATGTTTCATTGTAGGTTCATCGATGCATGCTTCCTTAATATTTGTCAATTGCTCGAGGTAGAGATCCATTATGCTATATTTGGTTTGAAGTTAATATAATATCATATATTTATTTGGTTAATATAATATAGTTTTATCATGCTATTTATTATATTCTTCATTATTTCTATTTGATCCCTTTGAATTTTATATTTAGTGTTAAAATGGATCTTCTCGTTAAAAGAATTGTGTCGTTTTCTTGTCATATAAGACGAGATCAGTGGCATTTGGCAACAATAACAACAATTTCAAGAACTATTTAGCAACAAGAAAAGTTCATATTGCAATGGTATGCCCCCTCTATATTCCAAACACATGTATCAGCTTTACATTACATTGGCTCAGATATCATCTTGACAGATAGAGCATCATCTTTGTATGGTTTCCGCCACAACATTGAATCGTGATGTGGCAATATACCACAATAAAGTGGTGACCACTGCATTGTGGTGTTCATAACTGGTCACCCTGTGAAAGTAAAATCTGTTTAAAAATACAAGAACACAGTTTCTTCTCTGTTTTATGATATAAATCAGCACATCAAATAAACATTGAACAATCGGGTACGACAAACCGAGTTTGATATGTACTTTATGCCAACCACGTTCTTCAACTAAAGCCGGCTGAACTCACCCCGGCTCCTACGGCGCCGCCTGTGCCGCCTCTCAGATCTCAGGGCATCCATACCGCTATCCTGAGTAATTACTGGAGCTACATTATCATTTCCATCCAAGGGATAAGCATCAGCAGAATCGCTGTTTAAAGGACCTTCATGATCATCTCCTCTGTCCTCTAATACCCCACTGTCCCTGTGAAGCCTCATCAGACCTGTGCTCGCTCTCAGAATTAAGTATAGGATATTCCTACTAAATCCTCGAGTCTCCAAGTCAACATCTCCATACCCATCACCGATCTCATCATCAGAATCATGGTCGCTGTCGCCCATTTCAATCACATAATCACCAAACACCACTGACCTTGGCATTGATGACCTTATTGTACTGATCACATCTTGTCGCTCTCTTTCATTTTCTAGCGTCCTCCACTTTTGTTCAAGCACTGGATCCACCTCACGAGGCTTTGCAGAAGGGTGCTCGGACCTAACATGCTTACTTAGCTCCTTGTAAGTCCCTACAAACGAGCAATTTTCTTGCATGCAGCTTCTCTTCTTGTTGTTGAGATAATGACGTGCAGGATCCACCACAGTCCATCCTTTTACCTGCCCTCGGCACAAAGGGCATGCAAGCTCCATAATATCAGACTTTTCACATGCAAGCAAGTGTGGCACATTTAATCCTAGGGTCCTGTTGTCAGCCAGAGGATCGTGATGAGAGGTTGTCATTTTTGTATATGCCTTCTTGAATTGATCGAGGCAATTCGAGTGACGGTAGCTCGTCCCACACATGTAGGGGCGGCAGCCCTTGTCATGAGAAGAGCACAGCAGCAGAACAGCATTATGTGGGTACTCCATGCACACAGAACAGGTGGCATCTTCCCAATCCCTTTTCTCCAAGGTCACTGATGTTTTCTTTGACCCATCTTCCTTCTCTGAGAACTTCCTTGAAGGAATTGTATACGGAGCTGACCTGAGTTTCCGGGAAGAAAGTCTGCGAAGGACCCCAGAACTTCTCACCATTGTCGAGAAAATCTGTAAAATAATATTCAAAGAAACTTTAAAATTAAATAATATATTACAAAGATATAGTATACATAATTATTCTCATCTGCAAAAAATTACTAGAGGAGGAAGCTGATGACATCATTTACAACAACTTAGATTGGATCAATCAAATTTGAATCCAACTTGAGATATCACATAAACAAAACAAAAATAATTTTCCTTCTATTCAGTAATCATTTGGCTTAAAATTCACATCTATGCACCAATCTTTTATTTGTTTCCTCAGGAAGGAATTCTTTACCATCTGGACCAGTATGGTATGGACTGCATTTACTGTTCTGACTACAGATTGAGGCTAGATAATACTGCACTTACCATTGGGCACAAGAGCTGTAATGAGCTTGTACTGGACAGTAAGCCTGTCAGGTGATCCAATCCAAGAAGACCCATTGGCAGGTCTAAAGCTACTCCCCTCCTATTTCACATCTTTACTCTCTTTCTCTCTCTCATGCTCCCATTGTTTTCTAAATATGTCACATCCTGCCGCTAAACTTCTTTTCGTTTCCACAACATACAAAATGTGACAATCTTTCCGCAACTATCAAATCTAGAACAATATAAAACTAAACTAAATTTTATTCAAACAGAAATTTCAAATGTCTACAAAATAACTATCATCTAACAAAGAGGAAAATCAGCCCTATTAGCATGTACTAAAAACCATAAAAACACTAAATTTTCTCACAGGACCACCTGACGATAGAGGTCTTCTCTGTGTCGAAATTGGAGTTAATATCATAAGGTTGTTCCAGAAAACAAAAACAAAAGATATAAGCAAACGTGTTAGTAGGAAACTCCTAAAACATCCTCTCAAAACATGTAACAAAATCTCAAATGAAGTAAATCATAAGCAAATGCCAATCAAATTATGCCACATGCCAATATCAAAATCATCATGTCTCAGTTCTAAGTCTTAGGTCACATGAGGTCTTAGAAGCTGGCAAAGGCTGAATACCCAACTATACACCATACCAATAGTGGATAAAAAGGTCTCACTTCACTAGATGAACTCTTTATTCTTCCAATAGTAGATGAAGATTAACTCATATCACACTTTCAACAACAAATATGTAAGAATAAAATCCCCTACCATGGGGACACGTTCCTCCTAACAATGACCAAAGGAACTATCTAGCTGCAACGTCTAGCTTGATAATTGATAATTCCTAAAGAGAATCATCCAGTATACTGACCTACTTGCCCCCAGCTAAGAAACATAGTTCTTATATCTCATAATAGGGCTCATATAAGTCGTATCGATCACATGGTCCAATTTTACCTTGAAATTTCATCAATTTCATTCAAATCCATAACAAATGCATCAATAAACCTTTTTAATTCATAAAACATCCAAATCATAAAGTACCAATCCAATTACAACCCTCAATTTGGCTTAAACCCTAGCCAAATTAGTTCAATCAACTTGAACCGGATCAATTTCAATTAGAAACTAATTGAACTAGCCTTTACATTAGTTTGGTTTGCAATCACACTAAATTGGTCTAGTTGGACTTAAATAGATTCAATTTGGGCTAAACAGAATTGGTTCAGAATCACCCTAGACCAATTTGAAACGACCAGATCGATTTGGTTCAGCCACTGTATAGGGCACAAACCTGGTCATAATGGGCCACGGACTGGCCTACACAGGGTCACAGCCATTGGGCCATGGGCCTAGCCCAAATTAGGTTGCAACAAGGGGTTAAGTTGGGCTCAAACTACACCTGCACTAGCCGAGCCACAATGTTGAGCCGTGCTTGGGGCTTCACACTTGGGCCACACATGTTGGGCGACATTGGGCCACACGCCACACTGGGTCACAGGCTACCAAGCCACTAAGCCACACAAGACGCCAGGCCTAGCTAGGCTGAGCTGCACTATGCTAGGTCGGGTTGCAAGTCACCGGATATGAGGACCCATAGGCCATACTGGGTTAGGCCTCAAGTTGCATTGCAGACCATAGTCGTGTCGAGCCTCTGCGTTGCATTGGGTTCTGTTGAGCCACTTGGACGAGCCACCCCATGCCACAGACTCCAAGTCACATAGATCAAGCCACAAGTCTAGGTCCTACCCACACACACGAGCAATTGGCGTTGGCCACTAGGATTGGTTGAGCTAGGTTAACTCAATCTGATTTATCGGCCTGACTCTGTTTGTACCTGATTATTGCTAGGTCAAACCCTCAAATCAGTTTCAATTTCAATATTTTTAATTAGGCAATTAAAACTGATTGATTTAAAGATTTAAGACATGTATCATGAACAGAGAAGATAAGATTATGTAATCAATAATTAAGTTCATAATTAATTATTTAAACATAAAATAAAAACCCTAAACTTACAGTATCATAAAAGCTGTATTTAAAACAAGAATATTTTAACTATTTAGAAAATCATGTAAGAACAACAATATAAATCAACTACTAAACATATATATAACAAAATTTTAAACATGAATCATGTATCATTAATCAAATCATAATATTGAAATCATAAATCAATAACATACCTTTAATCTTTAAAATCATGAACAAGCAAATTTATGAATTAACAATTTCGAAATTAGAAAGAAATGAAAAGAGAGAATTGAAGAACCTACATCTCTAAAAATATCTTTCTCCCTTAGAATCTCCTAAGCTGACAGGAAACTAAGGCCTAACTAATAGAGGGTTGGATTCTCACTTCAAGGAAGGAAACCAAATATGATATTTTTCGGAATTATTGATTAATTATTTTATTTAATCTTAACCATACCTAATCATCGTGAATCAAAAGTTACATTCCCATGAGAAAACAACTTCTTAAGCAGACCTACCAAATAAGGAAACAGTTAATATATCCAAGATAAGATCCTAATTTATAATATTTTAATTTTAAAAAATAAATTAAAATCTTTCAACGATTACATTCCTACCCTAGTATGAAAATTTGGTTTCCAAATTTGATTTACCTAAAAAACATAGATGTTGGTACTATATTTTGACATTCTCTTCCTTTCACAAGTGGTTAATTGGTCCAAATGGTGCTACCATCGAACTTTCATTAATGGCATAACCTTCCTCAAAACATGCTCTAGAAAGTTAGCATTATCTTTCAACTATAGCAGCTAATATGAGATAACATGAGATGGATCCTTGCTATATTTTTTTAAGCATCGAGACATGAAATACATCATGGATGCATATAAGTGCTAGGGGTAGGATTAATCGATAAACAACAAACTGAACTTCTACAAGATTTCGAAAGGGCTAAAAAAATCTAAGAGCTAACCATCCAACCATGTCTCATAACTCCTCTTGTCGAGATACTTTCAAAAAGACGTGAACCAAACCTCAAATTTCTAGATCCCTTCTATGATCTACATATGTTTTTCTATCAACTCCAAGTTGTCAACGGTCCATATCGAATCCTTTGCACAGCATCTATTTTAATTAAGGTCCAAGAAACTTTCGCTCTCCAACATCATCTTAATACACAGGTGATTTACATTTTCTCCAATGCAAATTCTATTAGGTGGATATCCTTATCCCAACTACTACCTAAATCCAAGGCACATATGCTCTTAAAAGATCCTCTAAGATTTGTATTGTCCTTTTAGATCAACAATTTGTTTAAGAAGTGAAAAACTCTACCAAATTACAGTTAAGCTCTCGAAGCCTTTTGCAAGCTTCCCAAAACCTCGATTTGGGTCCCAAATCATTATAAAAAATGATATTAACTAACACCCCATGGCATCGAATGATCTCTGTGACATGACTTTGCTAATTTGTCTAATAAATAACTCTTATTGATGGGAACAAAATGGATAGACTTAGTGAGACAATCAATAATCATCCAAATTTCATTATGTCCATTCTGTGTCTTAGGTAGTCCAACACAAAATCCATATTAACCTACTCCCACTTCCATTTAGGTTTTGGCATTTTCTATAATATTTCCGTATGTATTTAGTGCTCATCCTTCACTTGCTAACAAACTAAGCATTTGGAGACGAATTTAGTTGTCTCTCTTCATGCATTGTCACTGATATCCCTAACACAAATCTCTATACATTTTGCTACTCCTAGGATGAATAGTAAATCTCAATATATGAGTTTCTTGTGATAGTCACCAGGTGACTTTCAAAAACATAAGAGTTATTGATGGAATCTAATAACACCATCCTCGTTGAAATTATGGTGAAAAACCTTGAGTAATTTCTTTTCACCATTGAGTAATTTCTTTAGGTATGGTATGAAAGTATTCATCTCCTTCCTAACTTTTATTGATTCTTTCCACAAAAAAGGATTGTGCCAAACAAACCCTTACATGTCTAACACATCTTCCTACTTAAGCCATCAACAACCACATTAGCTTTTCTAGGATGATAACTAATATTGAAATCATAATTATTTAAGAAATAAACTCACATTAGAAATGATTGTGCTAATTGCCTATGTTGTCTTATGATCAACTCTCTTTATACGAAGATATATACAAGGCTTTTTGATATGTGAAATTTTCAAAAGTTCTAAAATAAAGAATGTGTTTCCAAATTTTTACATTTTTCAATGTCAAATTTGTCAAAGGAGCCGCTATTTTTGAAAGTTTTCTCTAAATCATCTATAATATCAATAAGATTAAACTTTTAATCTCTGAGACACTAGATGTTTGTTCCGACTTCATAATTACTTTAATTTTTTATGGGCTAATAGAAATACCTACACTAGATATCACATGCTCGAGTAACATAACTTCATTGAAACAAAATTTCCACTCGTTCAACTTGAATGCCTTAAAACTTCTAGAATTGTCTTAAGATATTGTTCATGCTCCGCCCTACTCTCGAAATATATAAGAATATCATCGATGAACACAATCACAAATTTATCTAAATATGGATGAAAGAGTTTATTCATATGATTCAAGGCACTTGGTGTCATGGTTAACCCAAAAGACATCATTAGAAATTCCTAGTGACTATCTCATTCTCATTATAGTCTCTAATATATTTT